TGAGCTACCCTATTTATAGGTATGAGATTACCTGGACAATTCCAAATCCCACTAGGTTTTAGGATTTACACTGCCCTAAGAGTTCCAGTTGGACTCTTCCTACAGTGGGTGGGCCGGTACAATCTCGGTAATGGATCTGGACTCCTCACTATGCATTACATTGTTTCCCAATTGACTAATTTCCTCCATGTTTCTCGATTATGGGGTTTAATTCGTGCAATGGGTTAGTAGCACTTTCTTTCGACGCGAATGTTGGTGATGATATTAATTTTGTTGTGTATAATACGACTACTTGTCGTGTTAGGCTTATTCCGCCGTTGCGCCAGTTCCTTTATCCTCAAACCCGGTGACGGGTCATAGATTAAACCCTAACCCTAATGGGTTTGGGCTGGCTATCTTGGAAGTTAAGTCACCGACTAAACCTAATTCGACTAGGTTTAGGGAAACAGGTAACACCACCTCTATATGACTATCTAATACACGTATCTTGTACCTCTCTCCCTATTCTTTCTATCCTTTTATTGACATAAGCATCGGAGCGTCTACCCTCGGGAGACACCCGAGGCTCTGTCTTGCAGGTTTTAGGCCGTACAATTCCATGCTTCGTCAAGTGGCACGCCCGGTGGGACCGATTTGTTTGGTTTTCACAACCAAATTAATTTCTTGAAGCAAAGTTGGAATTTTTTGGTGCTTTACGCTGCGCAATGTCATCAGCATTATGGCACAAGAAAAACAACAAACACCTGCTACTGCAGCTGAAAAAGATAAACAGGCGACTCCAACGGGACCATCCCCTAGCAGGCCGTCTGGTGGTTTGCTGGATCAAAACCTCGTGGAGGCTTTTTTCAAATCTCAACCTACCTTGTTCAACAAGTTCCAAGAATTTGTGAAGACTGTTCATGAACTCGACAGTAACCAGTGACAGCTCGTGGTTGACAATCTGGGTACCTTCTCAAGAGAGGGTGAGCCAAACCCTAGGGGCATCTGTCGAGGACATCACCTTGTAACTCGAGAAGAAACTCGTCCCCCTCGAGTGAACGTACCTCCACCTCGAGTACCTTCAACCATTGAGGAGCAATTACGGCAGGTTCTCGGATCTGAAGGAGACGAGGAGGGAGATGATAGTCCATTCATCCAATGTATCCGAGAAACGCCCATGCCCGAGAAGTTCGAACTTCCAGATTTGAAGTTTTATGGAGGAGATACCGACCCCATGGTGTTCTTGCAAGTCTATAAGAGTGTTATGAGGTTGAGGAATGCCTCCAACGATTTCATGTGCAAGGCGTTTCCAACCTATCTCACGGGTCAAGCACAACTCTGGTTCGGAACATTGTCTCCGGGAAGTATACGGACGTTTCATGAGCTGGGAACTTTGTTTCACACAAGGTTCTTCCAAGGAAAGAAGATTCGTAAGACGATTACCAAGCTAATGTCCCTCAAGCAAGATCGAGAAGAATCTATTGGGGCTTACTATAGCCGCTTCACCAAAGAACAACTTCAAGTCGAAGTGATATTTGAAGAGACGATTGTTTCAACCTTCACTAATGGTCTTTATCCATATGGGGCATCTGCTACTTTGCGACAAAAGCTGACAAAAAAGCCGCCACAAACGTTGCAACAACTCTTCTCGGTGGTCGAAACTGAAGTTCGCGCAGAAGAAGATTTACGTCGAGCACGAGAAAGCTTATACCCTAATGAGAAGAGGTCGCTCGAGTACAAAGCTAAAGGCCTAGGGGCAGATCGTGACCGAGAACTAGACCGCAATCAAGATCGAGAACACAATCTCGATCGAGAAAGAGGACATGATCAAGCAAAGCGCAAGGCAGATGCTTATACGCCTTTAACTCGTCCTCGAGCTGAAATCCTAGAGGTCCATGAGCATGAGCTGAAAGTGCCGCGTCCTATGACAACTGATCCAGGCAGGCGCCCCAGACATTTATGGTGTGCTTTTCATAAAGATCATGGGCATGATACCGAGAATTTCCACGAATTAAATGAGCAAATCGAGGAAGGGCTTGAGAAAGGAAAATTCCGAGAATATGTGACTAATCAAGACAACCCCTCGAGGGAAATTCCAGGTGGGCCTCATGTTTCACACAAGATACCATAAGGACTCCTCGAGGTTCCCTCCAACAAGTATGCCTCTTGCTTTCATATTCTGTTTAATAATTTAGCACATCGATGCTTTGATTTAGAATATTGCTAAGGATCTTTTACTATTAAGCTTTGACTTATCTTCAATAAACATATTATTATATTGCCTCTTTTGAGTAAAATTGCATATCGACAAAAGACCTGTACGACAAGCAAAAAAGGCTTCTCCCCTTCAAATAAGAGAGTAAAGGCTTCTCCCCTTCAAATAAGAGAAAATAGGCTTCTCCCCTTCAAATAAGAGAATCTAGGAGCCATCCTCCTAATTCGGCATAAACAGGCTTCCCCCTGCTAATAAGGAACTTACTAACACAAAGACCTCCTCGAGGCATTCTACTCTCTCTATCTTGTATAGGTGACACCCAAGAACGAAAGAGTTCGAGAACTAGGGGCAACACCACGAAATTCGAGAAGGCTCAACACTCATAGCAACCCATATCCTTCTCACCAAATCTCGAGAATATGGCTTGCTTGGGGCACTTGACGAGTCATAGATTAAACCCTAACCCTAATGGGTTTGGGCCGGCTATCTTGGAAGTTAAGTCACCGACTAAACCTAATTCGACTAGGTTTAGGGAAACAGGTAACACCACCTCTATATAAAGAGGTGGTGCCTTCCTCATAATGACTATCTAATACACGTATCTTCTACCTCTCTCCCTATTCTTTCTATCCTTTTATTGACTTAAGCATCGGAGCGTATACCCTCGGGAGACACCCGAGGCTCTGTCTTGCAGATTTTAGGCCGTCCGCCGCCGCCTAGGTCATCATCGCCGCCCGTCCTAAGTACCGTACAATACGATGCTTCATCACCCGGTCTCATTTTGTTGCATTGATTTTTGCATTTGATGCTTTACAATCTGAACACTATAAGTTACTATACATTTGGGATAATGGGTTAAAGATTAGATTAGCTTGCTATGCATCTGACACTTGAATTTGGAGTAAAAGTCGTTCGTCTAAGAAAAGGCCTGAAGAAGAATGAATTTATTTTGAAAAGGGTGTGTATTGGAATGGAAATGTCTTTTGGGTTGATTCGTGTTGGGTAACTTTTTGTTTTGATTTTGAAATTGAGATACAGAAGAGACTTCCTGCCTCACCTTCGACGGCCATTATTTCCCTTAGGCGAGAGAAGAAAAGTATTGGCCAGAAATCTTCTTCTTTGGTGTTTCTGGTGGGGATCTATGCGTTATGGGCCTAACGGACCCTTGCTCGTTGATATTTGATGTCTACAATTTGGAATTGGATTATTCGGGATGGAATCTCGAGTATTGTGTTAACCTTTCTTCTCTGCCTGCTTTGTATCCATCTATGGCTGTTGGAGAGACTGATCCTCATAGGGATCGGTTTGTAACTTCTCTATACTTAGTTGCATCATGGTTGAGAAACAAAAACCACTCAACTTTTTGATATCAGCTCCAGGTAAAATAATTTCCTGTAATATGCACAACATGAATGTGAAAGAGATTGCTGATCCTGAGACCTCCATATATGAATGGAAGAATAGGTCCATATTTGAGTGGTCGGGCGCATTCGAACATGTTGAGACCTTTACTTCTGCTTAAGTTTTCTGTCTTATATGATCTCATCATCATGGTCTCTATATGAGTTACTGGAGCTGGATATTTCCTTTAGGTTATGTTGCAAATTGTAATTTTTAGCTTCAGATATTGATCAGAGGTTGGTCAGTGGTTACTTATATAAAGTTTTCTAAGCTCCCTGCTGGGGAGGTATACTTGAAAGATGGTACTTTTTTAATTGGTTTGTCATATTGTAACTGAAAGTTTTTGGTTTGTTGTTAGACATATGTATCTGAACTTTTAAATCTTATAATTCCTTCTACGTAGAATAATGACGATGTAGTATTTTCCAACAATGTGGTCGCACATGCCGAAAATTTCTCTTGTATGAATGTTGTTGCTTTGTATGGTACTGCCTGTCCTTTTCGTATCATATGTGTTTTTGTTCATTAGATTTCAATGGAACAGTGTTAAATACTCCATTTTGTTGCCTAGAAGGTGGACTTTAGAAGATGCATTGTTAAAGTTGTAGTGAAGTTAATAAAAACGATTGTTTAGACTTGTAGAATGAGCTCTAACCTGGAGGAACAACATATGTCGGCTAATAGTTTTTTATTTAGCTCAAACTTTGAGGAACTAGATCTGTCTACTACAATTGTGTTCCTCTGCTCTATGTTCTCGCGTTTGTAATAAGTGAGTGACATTTACAGTAAGCGGACTACACATTCATTTGGCATTGAAAAGAGCTGAAAATTAGTGCAAGGATAGAAGTGAGTTGCATTTTTCCCACGTGGAAAACTCCTGGATCCAAATAGAACCACAAAACTTGAAGAGGTGCTTTTGGATGGTGGCACTAAGCCTTGAGAGTGGTGAAGTTGACAGAGCAGGTCAGGGACAAGTCACAGGGTAGTTGAAGAAACCAAGAAGAAACAAAGAAAAAACAAGGGAACTAATTAAGTTCCAGTCTTCAGACCAACAAAACTAGTAGTCATCAATATTGCATTCTGCCCGAAAACTTAAAAAATTCAAATAAATTGATCTTCCATATACGCCTCTTTTTCTAGGTTATGTATGAATGAGTAATTTAATAAAAAAAGAGGGTACAGTTAAAAGAAGCCAAGAAACAAGGAACTTTTGAACTACGAAATTGACAATGAAACCAATTGGATACCGGAAGAAACCATACAAACATCGATAACAAGGAAATAACAATAATACCAATACATTCTGCCCCAACATAAACAAATTCAAGCATATTGATCTTCCTGATCCACCTATCACGATTGTACATAACTATTTTGCCCAGATAATCGTTTTATCATCTGAAATCTAAATTTTTTGTCGAGGTTTTCTTCTAATAATAATCTCTAATCCAAGACACAACACCATTGTCTTGTTCTTGTTGTTGTTGTTATTGTTGTTGTTATTGTTGTTCTTGCCGTCAAAATCATCATGTCCCCCAGGACGACGTCCACGGCAAGTGAGCTTGATGACATCACCTTTGACAAGCTCATTCTTCAGAACGCACTCATTCCATCCTTTATTCAACACAAACCTATCAACGCTCGACCAATAAGTCAGTTTCAGTTTAAACCTCCTCCCTTCGCTGTCCTTCACTTCGACATCCATTCCCGGCTTCTTCGTCGCCTTCTTTCTCTTTTTCTTATTCTCCAATGATGATGACGATGAAGACGGCGCCAGAGACAAGAAAGAAGAAGGTGTCGACGATGCTGACGCTGTTTGGTTCTCCTGATCCATTGCTAGGGCCTTGAGGGTATCCCTTTCTTCTTTTGTCAAGAAATTGTCGGGTATAAACAGCCTACTTTGACCCGCTGAAATATCCGACTGTTCAAGTTCTTTCCGGAAATTAACTTCATCAGGACGCTGACCACCGATAGGCAATGTCACCGGCACGTCGATATTCGACCCAAACAATCGGATTCTTTTCATCACGGATACCGACATTATCTTCTTGTTTTATGACAAGCAAGAAGTTAATAGTAATGGAAGCCGATAACCTTGGAGAGACTACTGCTTTATGTTAACAAGGATGGGAATGGAGTCAATGGACGATGATGAATAAGGCTTTCTGGGGGAGTTGTTGTATTTATAGAGATATTGAGTTTCCAAAAAACGGTGATTTTTAGGATTAGGATTTTCTTGTTCGTTTTACCTTTCCATTGTGGGATTTGGGATTATGAAATTCCCACCCTTTTCCTTCACCAGTTTGGATAACCAAAAAACAAAGGTTTGATTAATAAAAATACGTCAATCCTATTGTAATACTAATAATGTAGTTGTTATTCGGTCACCCTGAATTTATTTAAAAGTTTCAATTTAGCCAAAGCTGGTAAGAATGAAAAGTACTTATTATATAGGCATGTTTTTTACGGGTATTATTATTTATTTGAATTGTTGATGGTATTTCACTGTATTGTGACATATCTAGAGTTCTTGAAATACTATTCATTCGTTCTCACGTGATTCTAGTGGACACCCTTGTTTGATTGTACAAAAATAATCACTGATTCCAAAAAAAAAAAAAACCTATTTTTGTTGAATTAAAAATCAGAAAAATGATAAATATAGTAACAAAAAATTATGAAAAGAAATAGTAACTGATGTGGAGTATTTATGATATATTTTCTGCCATTTTCCGGTTGAAATTTTATTTCCCACCGAGATTAATTTTTTTACTTTTAATCAGTAAGTACACAAGTTTTGTTGGGGATGGTGCTTTTATTTTTTTACAAGTTATTATTACATTTCACTGTAAATTGTTACTGCCTCCATCATTGTTGTAAAAACGATGTAGTAAAATAAACTAAGTTAAAATTACAAATCTAAAATAATAGTACTTAAGAAAAAATAAATTACTGTCGTTAGTTGAATAAGTTCAGCTTGGTTGACGGTGAAGAAGAGCTATTAGTAGGAATCAAATTCGTACAACCTCAATTCTGTGACCTCGGTAAGAATGAAACTGATACCATTTGAGTTTCACATCCTAATTAACCGATTACCAGAGTCTAACTCATACCACATAAATTCTGTTGAAGGCCCAAATATAAGCCCACATGTGGTTCCACCTCAAAACCAATTGGCAATGATGGGAGTAGCACATGGGGTATATATGTTGAGTTCAAGAGTGTCCATCCATCCATGTGGAACAAGGAAACATGAGGTAATTTCTTTCTTTTCATTCATTTAACACGCCCCTCTCAATCCCAAAGGGCTTGGACGGGAAATTTTATATATATTTTTTCTGATTTTTTTTTCAGTCTTGCGATTGGTTATTTTTCTGGATAAATCGTCACCTGCCGGGCCAATCAAAGTTCAAAGTCAAACCCTGGATTTCTTCCTTGGGTTGATCAAAGTTTCAAGACCCAATCTGGGTCAGTCCACCTCGCCCCACAAGTCCCACAGGTCTGCGGATTAAACTCGCTCTGATACCATCTTGAAGGCCCAAATATAGGCTCACATGTGGTTCCACCTCAAAACCAATTGGTAATAAGGAGAGTAGCACATGGGGTATTTATGTTGAGTTCAAGAGTCTCTATCCATTTATGTGAAACAAGGGTACATGAGGTAATTTCTTTCTTTTCATTCATTTAACAAATTCTACACATGTTCTTTACCACCGGATCAAGGCTTAATTTCTCCTAGCTGGGGAGTTGATCTGATGAAAAGATAGGTACAAGGTAAACTGTTGCTTGCCTAGTACAAATTCTATCATGCATTTTTAGTCTTGTTCAATCAGTTCATTTTTAAGATTGGTGCTAAAAATAGTATGAACTATTAAAACTCAGTATGGACTAATTTTTGAATAGAAATGATAATTTGAAAACCAATACTTCTTTTCAATAAAATTACACTGTATGAGCTGACTTATCGTGTAGATAGTAGGAAATGAAGACTTGGTTTTGTTGAAACTCCAAAAGGTGCCTACAAATTCGATTTGCGTGTTTGAGCAAGCCAAGCAAACAGGAGCTTGTACTTTTGCGCAAGTCGTAAGTTCTCGAATTTGCACTTTTCCAGCCGACCGTAAAGTCAAATCAAACCGGTGCCGGCATAGGAGCTCTGGTACTCTGAGTAAGAGAGGCACAGTCAGAGTATCTGAAGTTTTAAGTATCATCATCTCCATAAAACCTCGTGTAATAATAGGTCAAGCTATCTAAGAGTTCGCAAAAAGAAGGCCAATAAATATTCTTTTTATTCGAGAACAATGGTTTTATTTGGTTTCATTTTCCCTTTCCCCTTCAACTGTTTCAACCAATTTCGCAACATTAACCTCTACATTAACATAAAGAGTTGGAGTCTAAGAGATCAATTGCACACGCACCTTTATCTTTGTAATTACACAAAGAGTTTGTTTCCGTCATTACAAAGAGACGTTGCGACGTAAGATATATTGCGTCATTACATATAGTTACTTCCAGCAACCAATTTCTGATTTTTTTTAAAAAAAAAATGCTATTCTCGAAGCTTTTAACTTCAGCTTCACGCAACTCATCCATTTGTTGGAATTGATAAAAGACAACAAATAAAGAAACCAAACATCTTACATGTACAGCATGAGTCTAACAATTCGATAATTAACACAAATAATTAAGCCACTGCCTTCTTACAATATGAGCAACAGAATGAACTCCAAACGCTAATCCACAGAATCCAAGATTTCCATCAACAATTCGTTACGTCTAAAGACCAAACAAATCTGCCAGATTCAAAGATTCATGACCACTTGACTGTAAACAGAAGAAAGACCCTCCACTTGACCCTCAACCTCAAGGAGTTCATCAACCACCATATTGCTGATATCACAAGAAATAAGTTTCATTTCCATCGAAATCTTAATCACAGCTTTCATTGCAGTCACAGCAAACCAAGGAAGACCAAACCCACACACACTTCTCCGAATTTCAGGATACACATCGGTCAAAGGCGCGACAACAACCCGATACTTCAAAACCCACTCAGAATAATCCCTCTTCAGTGCAAATATATCAAACTTGAAGGTTCGTGAATTGGCATCGTTTGGGATCACAATGCACAAATCCCCACCGGCCACCCCAAAAAATTCAGTGTCCCAAGCATACCCTGTTTTACAGGCTACGCTGATAGGAATTTCGGGCATGGATGGCCTAATCCGTTCATTTTCCACATCGAAGCATAAATAGTCATTTTTAGAACCATTAAAATGTAAGTCACCATTCCATAAAACCCCATTACTGTAAAAACAATTCTTATATCGACCCGTCACATCGACATCATTGCCTATTTGCCTTCCGTTCCGTATCCTTCCAACTCGCAGATTCAGACGAATAGACCATGAATGTGTGATTCAATCCGTACCCACCAACCCGGACAATTTTGTAACGGTCCGATTTAACAGGATCGAAAACAATACTGAAAAGCATGAATGATGACACATAGGGACCTTCTGAATCATGAATCGATCTGTGTTTACCAGTGGTGGGGTTGTAAACAACAATTGAGTACAGATCCTGATCACTATGCTCGATTTGCATACACAACAGGCTCAAGTTAAATTTTTGTATACCGATCAACCACAACCGTAGCTTGATCAAAGATGAAAATTAACTTAATCTCATTCCCCTACAAATAATATCCTACTTGAAAATCTAGATCAATTCCCTTCAGTGATTTATTTAGACGTCAATGTACTGAGTCAATTAGCCCTCAGTGCCCTAACTAAAAAGCTTCTCTATCCTTCAACGATACATCAACAACAAAACAAAAATTTACAGAACTAAATTAAAAATTTACCTTCTTAAGTTTATTCCAGAGGTTGTAGAAACTAGTTTTATGAGGGGAATAAACATTGTGTTATGACAGAGCTCATGAAGCATGGTAATTGGTATCCAAAACTTCATCAAATGGCATAAATTCGTCTTCTCTCTCATACGTTCTAAGCCTTCACTTCACATGTTCGCCTCCACATACATTATACCCCAGCCACGTCTTATTGCTGCAAATTCCAAAATTTCAATTTTTTTTTCCAAAGACCATAAATTTGGGTGCAAGGTTAAAAAAAAAGAACGTACGTACCAAAATTCAGAGAGAAGCTTGACACTCTAATTGTGTTTACGCATGATGGGTTGAACTCGAGCAGCGATTCTTTCGAGAAACTTCCGAGCCTCTTCTGCTTTAGGCCTTCTTTTCAGAACCCTAATTTCCCATACTGTATTCAGATCCCCGTAATTCATTATTTCTTCTGATGTATATGATCACAAGAAACCCTGAAACTCAATTTTAAAAAATCAACAGTAGACGAAAAGGATGTCGTGTGATGTCAAATATAATATATATATATATATATATTATATATATATATATATATTATATATATATATATATATACATACCTCGTAAGGATCGGACTCCCGAAATCCGAAATAAGGAAAATCTTGGATTTAGAAAATCCAAAACAACAAAAAATTTTTGCTTTTTAATTGCGGTTAGTTTAAGTCAATTTATTGTAAATTACAAACGGTGGGTGAGTATTTATAAAACACTTGGATTTACGAAATCCGATGTTTAACTATTCAAATATTCCCTCGCTTTCATTTTTCCTCTTTTTTAATTATATTAACTCATCCATACAGACTTGTATGGTCTTATCTCTTCTTCATCCCAAGGTAAGAACACCTACTTCATTCTATTTATTGATAATTTCTCTCAAAAGACTTGGGTGTATTTTTTGAAAGAGAAATCACAAGCCTTTGATGCCTTTAAGACATTTAAGGCTGTGGTGGAGAAGGAGAAAGGCTTGAAAATCAAAGCCTTAAAGTCTGATAGAGGTGGAGAATTCACATCAAGTGAATTCACCAAATTCTGTGAAGAACATGGGATTAGACGATTCCTTACCGCTCCTTACTCTCTGCAACAAAACGGAGTTGCGGAAAGGAAGAATAGAACCATTCTCAATATGGTTTGTAGCATGCTAAAGAGCAAGAAGATGCCAAAGGAATTATAGGCTGAAGCAGTTGATTGTGCAGTATACCTACTAAATCGATGTCCAACGAAGAGTCTCAAAGACAAGACTCCACAAGAAGCATGGAATGGGACAAAGCCCACAGTAAATCACCTGCGAGTGTTTGGGAGTATAGCATATGCCCACGTACCAAGCCAAAAGCGGTCCAAACTTGATGATCGAAGCGAGAATCATGTCTTTGTTGGCTATGACAAACAGTCAAAAGGTTATAAGCTCTACAATCCAGTCACAAACAAAGTTATTGTGAGTAGAGATGTAGAGTTTGATGAAAAAGGAACCTGGGACTGAAATATTGAAGGTGGCGAAAGCTACGACTTCCTTCCTGTCATCCACGAATACGATGATGAAAGTAGTGATGCAGGTGAAGATACTCAGCAACCTCAAAGTCCACGTTCTCCTTTGAATGAAGAGTCACAAAGGACGAGAAGCCTACAAGAGATCTATGAGGAAACAGAACGCATAGAGGCTCTCACACTCTTCTGCCTTTATGCTGACTATGAACCTCTAGGTTACGAAGAGGCAGCAAGGAACGAGAAGTGGAGACACGCTATGGATGAGGAAATAAGATCCATAGAAAAGAATCAAACATGGGAGCTAGCCTCTCTTCCAAAAGGCCACAAAGCAATTGTAGTAAAGTGGGTGTTCAAAGCAAAGAAAAACACTAAAGGAGAAGTTGAGAAATACAAAGCAAGACTTGTCGCCAAAGGCTACAAGCAGAGGCGTGGCATTGACTATGAAGAGGTATTTGCTCCTGTTGCTCGCTTGGAGACTATCAGGTTGGTAATTTCTAACGCTACCCAAAATATATGGAAAATCCATCAAATGGACGTAAAGTCTGCATTCTTAAATGGCTTTCTTGAAGAAGAAATATATGTGGAGCAGCCAGAAGGATATGTGGTCAAAGGCCATGAGAATAAAGTTCTCAGGCTAAGGAAGGCTCTATATGGTTTGAAACAAGCACCAAGAGCCTGGAATAAAAGAATTGATCACTATTTTCAGGAAAATGGTTTTAAGAAATGTCCAAGTGAACATGCACTCTATGTAAAGTTTTCAAGCAATGGAGATATGTTGCTTCTTTGTTTGTACATGGATGATCTCATCTTCACAGGAAATTCACCTACCATGATCGAAGATTTCAAGAAGGCAAGGACTAAAGAGTTTGAGATGACTGGTATAGGACTTATGTCCTATTATCTTGGCATCGAGGTCAAGCAATTGGATGATGGAAGCTTCATCTCTCAACAAAGATACGCTAAGGAAGTTCTTAAGAAATTTTGGCATGGAGAAGTGCAAATCAATAGCCACCCCCATTGAATATGGAGCAAAGCTCTCAAAAGATGATGAAGGAGATGTTGTAGATCCAACTCACTTCAAGAGCCTTGTTGGAAGCCTACGTTATTTAACATGCACAAAGCCTGATATCCTCTTTGCTGTGTGACTTATCAGTCGATTTATGGAAGCACCTACTACGACACACTTGAAGGCTGCCAAGAGGATACTTCGCTACATCAAAGGTACTATTGATCTTGGCTTGTTATATTCCTCATGTGATGACTTCAAACTTTTGGGATTCAGTGATAGTGACTGGTCTAGAGATTTGAGCGAACGGAAAAGTACTACTGGATTCGCATTCTTCCTTTTCAACACTGCCTTTACATGGGTTTCTAAGAAACAACCTATAGTCACCTTGTCATCATGCGAGGCCGAGTACGTAGCAGCAGTATCATGTGTATGTCATGCTATCTGGCTCAGGAGCATGTTGAAGGAGTTAAGTATGCCACAATGAGAAGCGACAGAGATATATGTTGACAACAAGTCCGCCATCGATCTGGCAAAGAATCCAGTCTACCATGATCGAAGCAAGCATATTGATACAAGGTACCACTTCAGAAGGGAATGTGTGGCCAAGAGGATCGTTGAGTTGAAGCATACAAGATCACGTGATCAAGTTGCAGATATTTTCACCAAACCACTCAAAGGAGAAGACTTTACAAGATTGAGGATAATGCTTGGAGTCACCAAACCAAGTTTAAAGGGGGGTGTTAGTGAATAAACTTGTTTGGTCCAAAATTATATTGGGTCGTCCAATTTAATTAGTTAGATCATTAGTCTTTCGTTTAAAATTGAGCCCAAATCCAATAGGAAGAATAGATTAGAAAGAGATGATGAAAGTAGTAGAAACTTCTACTAAAATATCTAGATATTGTAGAATAATCAATAGAAATATCTAGAGGAAATATCTAGATATTAGTAAGGAAATTTCTAGATATTATGTGTAGGAGGAAAATCTTGAAAGTATGTAGAATCTTCCATGAACTCCTATAAATAGGAATTAACCTCCTTATGAAAGGTGTGTAGAGAGTTGTGAGAAACCTTAAGCTAAAAGCTTAATACACTTCACCTTGTTTCCTTTTACTATAAAGTAGTAAAGGTCCCTTTCTCCCAAAAGTTCCTTCTCTTCCATTTTCACTTCCTAAACCTATCACCTAAAAGATCTCTTCCTTATAACCCAAAGGGTTCTTGAAGAGAAATAACTTTATGAAAGAAGATGAAATCATAAATTGTATTGTGTGCAGCAGTACATTACATTGCCTCTATTTATAGGCATACATCAACATTAGTTAAGATTTAGATATTATAAAATCTGAAATAATCTAAACAAATAGAATCTAAATAATCCTAACTAATGAGATGTTTGACTAATCTTATCAGCCCCCCGCAAGCTCATGGGTGGAACAACAATGAGCTTGTCTGGAAGTTGAAGAAAAGTCTTCGTAGGCAGCGCTTTGGTCATAATATCAACAATTTGGGCAGCGGACGGAACATGCTGAATAGTAAGAGCTTTTTGACGAACCAAATCACGAACAAAGTGAATGTCAATCTCAATATGTTTGGTGCGTGCATGAGATACTAGATCAGCAGCAAGGTAAATAGCTCCTAAATTATCACCAAAGAGAAGGAGGTAATGAAGACAAACCAAGCTCACGGAGGAGAGAAGAAAGCCAACATAATTCAGCTACAGCAAGAGCAAGACTGCGATACTCAGCTTCGGTACTTGAACGAGCAACAGTCGGTTGTTTCTCAGCACTCCAAGAGATGAGATTACAACCCAAAAAAAT